TTCTGAGGAGCAGCCGGTGACCTTGAACTGCCCATCTTGCAGTTCAAAAGGCTTATGCAGTCTGGTGCATTAACCCACAGCTCCACACCGGAGTTCTTCTATTAAATTAGAGAGTGTTATTTAAGAATGGCAAATACACCTTTCTTCACTCCAGAAAATATATCTTAAATCATTTCAAACCATTATAAATATTTTGATAGTCTTTTTTAGTGATCTCTCTTAAAGTATGTGCAAAAAAAGCAATAGGATAGGGCAATGTTTGAATGTAAGATAACATTTCACGCCAATTATATTGCAAAGTATAAGAATGCAGGTCCAACACTCTATTTCAATTCATACCTTATGGCCCGATGGCAATTGAAGGAAGCTTGCAAAATACTTTGCATATGCACACAATTGTTGAAATCTTGTTTAGGCAGACGAGAATTCTAGCACTTTCTTATGTTATATTGTTGTTGCTAAGTGCTTTATGGGATTCCAAGCCCCAATAAGTCCAAAGTACACTGTTGCCTTTAAGTGCCATCAAGATGGTTCTGACTCATAGGGACCCAGTGTAGGATTTTCAAGTGTGTAAGGAGCTCTGATAGCGTAGTGGTTACGAATCGGGCTACGAACCTTAAGGCCAACAGTTCGAAACTACCAGCTGTTCCGCGGGAGAAAGATGAGGCGTTCTGCTCCCGTAAGGATGTACAGCCTCGGAAACCCTGTACAGGGTCGCTATGGGTCGGAACCGACTCGACGGCACTTAACAACAAAAACATGGCAGTAGTAATCACATAGTCCTAATAATAGGAAACAGAACTCCACCCAGTATGTATAATAAAGGGGTCTCAAAATCTATGCTGGGAGTCTGGGTATGAAGCTGCAGAGTAAGTCCTCGACCACAAGGTTGGTTTGAACTGAAGCTTCAGGGCTTCAAACCCACCGGCCGCTCCTAGGAAACCCTATACAGGGTTACTATGAGTTGGAACCAACTCAACGGCACTTAACAACAAAACCATGGCAGTAGTAATCAACATAGTCCTAATAATAGGAAACAGAACTCCACCCAGTATGTATAATAAAGGGGTCTCAAAATGGCTCTCTAATGATCACACCGTCCTCAAGAAAATAGACAGTTACCATATAGGGTTTCCAAGGAACAGCTGGTGAGCTTGACCTGCCAACCTTGTAGTTCAAACTGACCTTGTAGTCCAGCGCAGTAGCCCACAGTGGCTCACCAGTCCTCCTCTACTGCCACAGATACTAATATGTTTGAGCGTCTGCTGATTTTCCAACAGGTGCAGTCAGATAGTCCCGAAATAGTGATCGACAGGTATCTGAAATCACTCTCCACAAAGGAGTAAACAAACTGAAGTAGCAGTTAACGTCTGCTATCTAATTGATTGTACCTGTGACAATCCCAAAGCTGTTAGAGTAGAACTGCCATAGACTTTCAAGGGCTGGTTTGGTTGGAACTAGAGCTGTAGGTCTGTCTACTCAGGTGCCTCTAGGTAGACTCAAACCCCATCCTTTCAATTAAGGATTTGCACCACCTTGGGATTCCTAACACACAACACTTTAATTACTTAGAAGATTGTGTTTTTAAAAATCTACAAGGGCAGCTTCTAGCTTCTAGAGGTCTATGAAGGTGAAATGAGACCGAGTAGTTGCTAGAGAGATTATAGTTTCATGATGATCATAGTTCCTCTAATAGGCAAACTGTTATGCTCAGTGAACAACTGTATAGTCGTTAAGCGTATGACTGAGTTAATATAAAATTAGAGTCTTTTGGAGAGTTCTGGTGTGGCATTGTAAAATAAGCTCTGGATCGCTAACTACACAGTAGGTAGTTAAAGACCACCAGCTGCTCCTCAGTTACCCTACATTAGCAGGGGTGGGGAACCTTTGTTCCTGCCTAAATTTATAATATGAGCAGGCCAGATGAAATTATCAACTTGAAAATTAGCCAGGTATATTTAGCCAAACAATTACTTAACTTACCCTGCTGGACTGCAAGATTGGTTTGAAATGCAAGGTCGGTGGACTCTAGCTCACCAGTCACGCTTCAGAAACCCTGTACAGGGTCGCTATTGGTCGGAACTGGCTTGACGGTATTTAACAACAACAATGAATGACTAGCAGTACGTTGCCTTGGCAGGGCCAAACCAACTGATTTCAAGTGCCTTATACGGAGTCCTGGTGTAGCTCTGTGGGCTAATGCATCAGACTGCAAAGTCGTTGAAACTGCAATGGTTAGTGGTTCAAGATCACCAACTGCTCCTTGGAAACCCTATACAGACAGGTTCACTATGGGTTGGAATCGACTCAATGGCACTTAACAACAACATATGGCTTGAGGGTCAGACATTCCCCACCCCTGCTATATAGGGTTTCTATGAATTAGACATAACTCAATGGCACTTAACAACTACAGTGTAGTTTACTGGCTGGAGCTTGGAATCCCATACTTCATGTAAATGCGGCATATTACAGTCTCTATTGTGGTAGCCAAAAGAGGAAATGAACTTCGATGTTTTCAAATATATATTTTGATACAATAAATTGGGATTTTCTATATCATAGTTAAAGTGGTATGGATTTTCCCATCATAAAAGAGGTGAATTTAATTAAGTCTCGGAGCTTCAATTTTCCTATCAGTAAAATGAGGATAGTAATTACAGGCTTTAAGAATATGCAAGCTTTTAAGGAATAATATGTGCAAAACACTCAGATCAGTTGTAGCAAGCACACAACAACCTCAAAAAGCAACCGCAAATATACGAATGAGAAGGAAACATGCTGGCAGCATTTGGAAGCAGAGGGATGAGTGGGGTACTTGACCGAACTACCCACATTACTGCCTCCGTATATTAGAAACATGCTTGCAACAAGGTCTAATGCTGAAACAGGTCCCCTTTACTGTGGTATAAGTGAATATACTGTGGTGGTGTGTTGTGGAGTCGGTTCCGACTATAGTGACCCTACATAGGATTTCTGAGGCTATAAATCTTAACAGGAGCAGAAAGCGTCATCTTTCTCCCACTGAACTTCTGGTAGTTTCAAACTGTTGACCCTGAGGTTAGCAGCTCGACTCATAGATCTCTTCAATATATTGTGGGGAGGAAAGAAACTCAAAATAGTAATCAAGGCCACTGTTGTTGTTGTTAAGGGCTGTCAAGTCGTTTCTGACTCATGGTGACCCTCTATAGGGTTTCTGAGGACTGGCTGGTGAGCTTGAACCACTGACCTTGCGGTGCAAACAGACTTTTGCAGTCTAGAACATTAATCCGCTCAAGGCCATTAGGTGGCTACAATATGCTAGGAACTGTAGCAGGCATGGCCAAGGTTGCCCAGGGTCAGTGGACAGTGTCTTCTATTTCTCTTTGGCTAAGGGTGCAAAAAAAGTTACCCTCAAGCCAGCTGTGACTCACAGTGATCTTATGAGTATCACCGTTGAATTGTACTCCGTAGAGTTTTCTGTGACCGGTGTTCAGAAGTAGATCGTCAGGTTGTCCTTCTAAAGTGCATCTGCGTAGACTTCAACGTGCTCGTCTTTTGAGTAACAGCTGAGGGGTAACTCTTTGAACTATCCAGGGACTCCAGATTTTGGGACAGGGGATAAATAGGGAGTGAAGTTATGTTGTCAAGCTGGAGGTAGGACACACTGCCTTCTTTTGTGACTGTTAGGTGGTACCGGTAAATTTGCCAGTTTACCACTAGAGTGTGAAGCTATCTAAACATTGTAAAGAAGAACATATTAAGGGCGGATTGGTGAGGTCACTTCATTGTCCCTATGTATCTGAACTGGAAAACAAGTGATCATAAAATACAATACCACCAACAAAAGAAGAGAAACAATAGAGGAAAGTTGTACCCTTTTATTGGCACAGTAACTTAAAGGCTGGTTTGAAGAAAAAGTTCCAAGTAGCAAGACACTAAGCTATGGAAACTACTGCTCAGAACTTCCGGACAGCCAACTGGAGCACACCAATAAGACAGGAGGGTGGAGGGGATACAGCGAGTGCATCATGCAGAGCGATTCCGCGCCAACAGTCTCTTGTGAAGCGACCATTATTGCTCAAACCAGTCAATCTCAGCTTACATATTCATATTGTCCATACTGTTGAATGAATGTGATCCTTTGACACACAAGCTATGAAGTTGAAGCCGCCTACATCTACCAGAGTGCCTCATCAGTTCTTGTAACCTATGCTGAAGTTCAGAAATGAAATTTCAGTAAACCGTTTACAGTTCACTTATCCAGATATACAAAGCACAGAAAACGACTGTCTCCTAATCAGCTGACGAGATATAAAGCAATGGCCACAATCTGCACTTTTGCAAGGGCTGACACTGACAAAGCTAAAACAACAGCATAGCTTGGAGATTATTAGGTACCCTACATTAAAAAAAAAAAAAAAATGTGTGTGGAGAAAAAATTCTAGAAATGCTTTTGTTTTTAAAAACCTGTATTTTGAAGAAACAGAGCACCACCAATTGCGTAAAGTTATAAAATGCACAGGTAATAAACAGGTAAATAATGATCAGATTTGTAATTCCAGTAAAACACGAACATCTATAAAGAAACAAAATGTCTGTACTGTAGAATGTATTATAACAAAACCACTGAAAGTACAATAAACATGTTGTTGAACTTTATAAAAACAACTAAGTGTTCAGTGTGCACACGCATTGCTCCTTCCTCTCACTTCCTGTTGGCCTCTGTCCTCTCATGCATGTTTACTGGCCTATTCGCTGGCTACCCGTAGGCAGCAGGGCCCTAGCAACACGAAGCCTGAAAATCAGAGTATATCACCACAAAATGGCTAAGAAAGAACACACACACACACACACACACACACACAGACACACACAGGAATCTTGTCTATTTAACCTCAGTGTCATGTGCTTTTTTGTGTAACTGCAGGGGGAGAGAACCCAGCATGTATCAGAAGGCAGCCTGCTGTGGTGGTGCCTGGAACTACTAGGCACTTCTGAAGTCTGCAACTGGGACCACATCAAGTGGTGGTGTCCCAAAGCTCCGAAGGCAGCCTATTGCAGGAGCCCCCTTCGGGCTTCTTCAGAAGAGTGGGCTTTTTGCAAGGAGGTGGGGGAGGGGCTCTGGGCTCAGTGGGCTGCAGAATTTGTTGCCAGTCTTCTCTTCCCTCACAGAGCTTCCGCCTCCAGTCCAGGAGTTCCTGAAGAGCCACACTTTCGTTCTCTGAAAGCCTCAGTTGATGGATTACCTGTGGAAGGAAAGAGAGAGAGAGAGAAACATCAAATAACGTGGAGGCGGTTGGAATGTATAGCAATAGCTGATGTCCAAGGGCTAGGCTGGGTGGAAAAGGAGAGCACGTCCTAGAAAACCTCTGGGTATTATAGCCTCTGGAAGTTGCACCAACTGGGAGTCCTGGTGTGGTTTTGTAGGATAAGCACCAGACCGCAAGGTTGGTTTCAACTGCAAGGCTGGCAGTTCAAACCTACCAGCTGCTCTTTGGAAACCCTATAGAGGGTCACTCAACACCACTACCAACAACAACAGTTTGGCTGTTAATTGCATAATTGAAACTATTTATGTAACAAAATATTTAGGAAGGAGACAATCTGGTTAGTATGTTGATTCCAACCCATGGTGATTCAATGATCAGTATATAACCATATCCCACATGGTTTTCGAGGTTGCTTTTTTAAAAACACATCATCAGGCTTTTCTTAAAAGGCACTGAGTAGTCTTGAAATGCTCTTCTGGTTAGTCACTGAGTGCAAATTGTCTAGGACCTTACCATGTGATATACCCTCAGATTATACAAGGAACACTCAATTGTCTGTTTTCCCTTTGAATTATTTGATACTCATACATTCTTATCGGAGTCCTGGTGTGGCGCTGTTGGTTAATGAGCTGGACTACAAAGTTGGCTTGAGTCGCAAAGCCAGAGGTTCAAGCTTCACCAGCTGCTCCTTGGAAATCCTATACAGGGTTGCTATGGGTCAGAACTGACTCTATGGCACTTAACAACAACAAATACATTCCTTACATATCCTGTTCCCCACCCCACTTATCACAATTTTAATTCTGTCTGAAACAGGTACTGCATTGCTCAAACCTCCTCCCATACTAGAAAGTACTCCTGCATCCATTCAAACAGCTACGAATCAAACAATCATTTAAAGTAACATGGCTCCACTTCTGACCCCAGTTCTTGAGCCAAGAAGGTCCACTTACAGGTCTTGCAATATAGGAACAACTTTTTGGTTTTTAGTGCTTTCATCTTTTAAAATATATATTTTAAAAACTTTTTGTTGTGAATTGAAGGGTTACAGAGCAGATCATTAGTTAGGCAGTCCATAAATCATATAGTTTGTTTCATCTCAATGTCTGCACTCGGCTCCATGTAACATTAATTATCCCACTTCCTCCCTGTGATTCTTGTTTCCATTCCATCCTCCTTCCCAATTCTTCTGAACTTTGTCCTTTGAAAAATGCTACTCTTTTGCTCTTGAACGGTTGACCGTCAATGACAAGAACATCTTGCTTGGTTTGTTGTCCTCCACTATATACCTGTCTACCACTCAGCTGAAAGTTGAGCCACAAGGATGAGTTCAGTTCCAGACCTGAAGGATGACACTCTTGGGTTCCTCCAGTCTCTTTCTGATCAGTAAGCCTTGTCTTGTTGTTGTTGTTAGGTGCCATACCAACTCATTATGTTGATACTGACGCGTAACGACCTTATGTACAACAAAACGAAACACTGCCCAATTTTGGGCCAACCTCACAGTTGTTGCCATGCTTGAGACAACTGATGCTGCCAGGTTGCCAATCCATCTAACTGGGGTCCCTTCCTCTTTTTCTCTGACCCTCCACCTTACCCAACATGATATCCTTCTCCAGTGACTGCTCCCTCCTGACAATATGCCTGAGTATGAGAGATGAACTCTGGCCATCCTGGCCTCCAACGAGCACTCTGGGTGCACTTTTTCCAACACAGATCTGTTTGTTCTTTTGGCATCCCACGGCACTTTCAATATTCTCCTCCAACACCATAACTCAAAAAAACCCAGCAATTTTTCTACGGTCTTCCCTTATTCACTGTGCAGCTTTCACATGCATATGAGGTTATTGAAAATACCACGGCTTGGGTCAGGTGCACTTTAGTCTTCAAGCTGACATCTTGGGTTTTCAACACCTTAAAAAGTTCTTGTGCAGCAGATTTGCCTAATGCAATAGGTTGGTCTTAGAAGCTGCTTTTAAGAGGTAGGTACACTGAAGAAAACGTTACCTCAGTTATAAGGTAGCATAGCTGCGCTTGAGAGTTCTTCCTACCTAGTTGTGGGTATTCCGTCTCAAGTTGTATTTTGTGGTAGTAAAGCTAAACAGGAGTCCTGATGTGGAGCTGTAACATGAGCACTGAACCACAAGACCGGCAGTTCAAACCCATCAGTTGCTCACTGGAAACCCTAGAGGGTTGCTATGAGTCAGAACCAACTTAGCAGCACTTAACAATAACAAAGCTAAACAAGGGAATGGTGTGGCTCTGTAGGATAAACACTGGACTGTGAATCACAAGGTCGGCAGTTTGAGCCCACCAGTTGCTCCATGGGAGAAAGATGAGCCTTTGTGCTCTTGCAAACATTTACAGCCTCAGAAAACGTATACAGGGTCGCTATGAGTTGGTACAGACTCATTAGAATTTAACAATAACAAAAGCTAAACAGGCTAAACTTATCCTAGTGTGGCACTACTGGATAAGCACTGCATTGGCAGTTCAGACCACCAGCTGCTCTTGGAAACCTTACATAGGTTCACTGTGAGTCAGAACCAACTCGAAGGCACCCCAAAACAACAAAGCTACCCAGTGAGCTGTGCGAGTGGCTGTGTGCTCTCTCTCTGACAGCCTTTGGACACTGGGAGTTTAGAGACCTTGGCAGCAGACCACCAGAATTTACACTGTGTTGGCTACTTCCTCTTGGTTCAGGAGAGTATCCTTGAATCTCTTCTTACCCACCTGAAGCCAGCTGGAAAGTAACATTATAACAGACCAAGGGGCACTATGCACACCTCTGCCAGCAGCCAATAATCCGTGACTACGGAACATTGCAGAATCCACTTTTCCACTTTTTCTGTCAATCCAAAAGCCGTATGCTTACACAAGTATGAGATTCTGGAAATCTAGATGATTATTATTGGAAGAATTCAGAGGAGATGTGATGGTTAATTCCACTCCAAAGCATCTACTAATTTTTTTCCAGCGTCACCCTCCGCCGCCCCATCCCCAATCAGAATCCTCTCAATTAACACAAAATAAAAATTAAAAAAAGCAAAATGTAAATGGTTTTAGCTCTAGTGTACAGAATAATGGCTTGAACGCAGGAAGAATAGTCGGTGTTACAGGTCCAATTCTAAAACAAACAACTTTAGCGTAGCTAATGGAGCCGATTGTTTCCCTCAAGAGCCTAGAATTAAAAGTCTGGGCAGATAGTAAGTTATGATGTTAAGCGACAGATCCATGAAGGTCAAACCCACACGGGAGGTTCTGTTGTTTTTTCCTTTCTTTTTCCATTGCCATTAAGTTGGTTCTGACTCATGCCAACCTCAGGTGTGTCACAATAGTACTGTGTTCCCCAGGACTGACAAAGACTATGATCTATGAAAGCAGATCACCAGGGTTTTCTTCGGAAGTGCCTTTGGGTAAGCTCAAACCACCAACTTTTGGTTTATAGTCAGATACTTAACCTTTGGCGCTACCCAAGAACACCAAAGCCTGAGTGCGTAACAATATTTCTGGAGTTGGTTGTTTGTAAAAGGTGTGCCCCACATTGAATTGATACAGATTCAGGTATAGGAGAAAGAGACTAAGCTTGGAAAACAGGACGGTGATGGCTCGCTCATAAAACAATCTCCAAGTGTCACTTCCAAGCAGGATACAAAAACTAAAAACAGCATGTCCCAATTAACAAGGTTAATTTGCTTGTTTGATATTTTTTATTGCTGTTTCTAATTTCCAGAACTGCAGGTGAATAGTACTGGAAATTGATTTTTCTGATGGGTAGATGCTATGGAAGTCAGATTATCTCTACGGTCAGGGAAGACAGGGAAGTAAGCCATCCAAGTCGAGTCAGGAAGAGATATGCTAAATTGGTGTCAATTACTTTCTAAGCAATTTACAGACATTAACTTATCTAATTCTGGTACAAAACCCATGAAGTAGGTACTGCTTTATACAGATAAAGACATGGAGGCACAGATGATGGTGGTGGTGGTGGTGTGCCATGGTTCTGACTCATAGCGACCCTGCATAGGGTTTGTGAGGCTGTAAATCTTTATGAGAGCAGAAAG